CAGTAAACAGATGAACCCCATGAAAAGTGCTAAAAAGTGCTATTTAGACATTCTCATAATGTCAAGGCAGCTTTGAAAGGAAATGTCAAATATTACAAGGAATAATTTAGAAGCTATGAATGAAAATTGAATGCTTAGAAAATTTCAACGTGTCGCTGTAAAACGCAAAAAGTGAGTTGTACAGTAGAGATGGTGACGGGCGGAAATGACGTTATAAGGTATACAGAGAGCAAACTGATAAGGTTGAATTTCGCGATCATTGGTTAGGAGCTCGCTTACTTGACATTTACTCGAGCATTTTACAACATGAACAGACACAAACCGTACCATCAATTTTTTTACCCTCGCGTTACAATTGCAAGTTGGACAAGGGAAATCAATTACAGATGGAACCCTAACTATGATTATTCCCAGATGTTGGAAAAGTTTGCAACGTTATCGGATTTGCAGACTTACCGCCAGTAATGATAAACATCCTTTGGAGACCCCACAGAGGACAGCCAGTGCTCGAAGTAAAAGTTTGCAAGTGTCAGGCGGGGTGGATGTTTGGCGGACCAGCTTTAGGACGGAATGAAGACCGCCGCACTAAATAATTTCTTCTTGGAAAAAAGTTAATGTTTTTTTTCTAAAGCCTAACCTGTATGGCCTCCAAACAGAGTTCATCACCGAAGAGAACCAAATGAATAAGATGTTCCAGAGCGATCAACACAAGGCGATCCTTATTACCGCACTCCGTAAGGTATCTTGTAATGATCTAAAGCAGATGTTACCAAAGAAGGCAGGCATCTACCTTACCCTGCAGGTAAATTTGTAACCAACCTTACAAAATATCTGCAACACCTGTTCAAGCATTTTTCTCAGCACAATCGTGAAATAATTTGTAATTGCAAGAGGCATTCCTGTCTCTACAGCCTCTCGCTCAAGATCATTGATTTGCAGTTTTACAACATTTGTATCCTAAAATTTAAATATTTGAAGTGCAACATACAAGTCGCTTGATAGGAACAACAAACATATTTGGGCAGATGCTGAGCACAAGGGCTAGCTTCTACGATTTGGATGAAGAGGCTCGTTTTCGCTAGAAGTTCTCTCGCCGTAGATGGATTAGAAGGGCCGGACAGAAGGGCATGTATCGATGAGGCAGTTCGCAATATGTGATCCATCGTGCCTAAAAAGAA